CATGCAATTTGAATGTGTTATCAGATGGGGACAGTAGTGCAGGCAATGCATATTAGGTGCCATCAGTAATTTAAAAAATGGATGTGGAGTCAGGTTAACCCTTTCACATGAATTTTTGGAGCAAAAGAAAAATATGCCTTTTTTGGTTTAATGTTTAAGGAGGTACTTTACCATAGTAATCACATGTTTTACTGCTAGAAAGCAACACTGAAGAGATTACATGCCCATGAGTTGACTGCATACACCAAAAGTTTTGAGGTTTGTGTACCATGGCTAAAAAACCATCATCATCACTAAAAATGTTGCTGTCCACTATAATGGACACCATGTGTGAAAGGATTAATCATGATATCCCTTGTGATCTCTTGTGATTGAGAGAAACTCTGACTTGTGAAGGCATTGAGCCCTACCATAGAACTCATTTAGCTTAATAGAGATATCAGAGGGAGCAACTGGCCAGTTAGTTGAAACTAGCTGGCCAGTTGTTAGATTGGATTTTGTGGCAAAGCAAATGATTTCACATTTGGACAGAGCTGGGGTTAAAGAGTATGATCTGGTGACAAACTTGCTGGGTGGGAAGATGAGACAAGTAATGAACTCAATTATATGCCATATCTAATATACAGGGAGGCTTAAAAGTAAGTTTACTGAAGGATTTTCAGCTACACCAGTTTCTTATTAACCTACATTTATTATTTATGCTGTATGATATTGCCCTTGTTGGTATTTTAGATGATGTCTATTACTGTATTTGTTACTGCTGAAATCGCTCATAGACTTGCTAAAGAGCAATGCAATTTTAGCCATTTGTTCCTTAATTGGGTAAACTTACTTTTGGGCCACCCTGTACTTTATATAGGCAATCATGAATGATTGACTGAATAATGCTAATTGTAATTGTGTTAATTACTGCTGTAAACAGCAATTAGCCAACATGGTGACTCAAGGCAGACCTGTTTTTTTTTTAGGTATGATTAAAATGATACCATACTATATCAGGAAAGGACTGTAATCAAAATTACCAAGAAGATTTATGACACTCTCATAACCACTCAAGAGGTATCTATAAAAAAAAAAGGAAACTAGAACTGGAGTTAAAAGTGAGTTAGGAGAGTGCTGCACAATTCCATGGTTCAAATACAGTCAGGTGGCAGAAAAGCCAAAAAGTTATAGAAAAAGAAGAAAAGTGACATGGGGACAAAGAAAGACAAACTTCTGAACACACAAAAAGCTCCATTGGGTAAGAAGGAGATGGACAGAGGGGAACAAGGAGCTGACAGACAAGGGAAAAAAAAGAACCATTTAGATTATGTATGTATATAATAAATCCTTCCACGGCACCTGCCGGTATTGGAAATATGAGGGGGGATGAACCACATCCCAGACCTCATACTCGCCTAATTCTGAAGGACACGGCGAAGGATGCTGGCCGTGCCCAAGATTGCTGTACACTGGAGGATATTCAGTGATATTTCACACTCCAGCTTCCTGACATGTCCCTTGTCTTTCAGGACGACACCAGTTGTGCCAGTGATGATCGGAACAATGGTGGTCTTCATTCCGCACAGCTGTTCTACTTCCACTTTCAGTTCGTAGTATTTCTCCAGCTTCTCCCTGGTCTTCTCTTGGAGGTTGTTATCGGCTGGGATGCTCACATCTACGAGGAGGGCGGTCTTCTTCTTC